TGTTCTTTGGATTTTATTCCTAATCACGTGCTTAATCTAATACACTGAGGGATTCTTGGAACTTTTTCTGGTTAGATTAATTCAAACAGTCAGAAATTGTTCTCTTTCCTTGAAATAAAGCTGATTGAAGGATTACATTGTCTGAACAGCTGTAGGATTCAGAAGCGCCTTGATAAAGACTTTATTTTTAGGTTATAATTTTCATAGATTTCTTTTGGATTAATGGTCTAACACGAATGTTTGACTAGAGCCTTACTTTTCATTTATCATAGCTACAGCTTGTTTGTTGCTCATTAGATATAAGTACATTCCAGAGAGAGGAACTTGTTGGCTCTCTGCCAAGGAGGGAGAGAAAATATTAATCAAATTGAAAATATGTATGCCTTTTGTTCCAGCAAGTCCAATTATAGGACTCTCTCCTATGGAAATACTCACCAAAAGTATTCACACATATATACATACCTAAATATACCATTGTTTGTAATAAACTATTCAGTTGAAAATATTATAAATGCCCATCAGTAAAGGAATGGATAAAGAAATCATGACCTGTCAATATGCTGATTGACAGCTATGAGTATCACTTTGGAAAAATGTCTGTATTAGAAAGGTCCTGGCAGGAAAAAGAACTCATTCCAGATGTTTCAAGTGAAGAGATTTTAAGAAAAAGTTTACTTACAAGAGGTTGAACAGTGTTAAGCCAATAAAGAGATGGGAACATAGCTACAGGCCAGCAATAGAGGAAAATTATTACCATTCCTAGGGCTTAAGGCACAAGGGAGAGGACACATATAATAGGAGCCCAGTGAAATTTGGTACCATAGAGGCAGGGCCACCCACTAGAACAATAGTCAAAGAGGGATACAGCTACTGCAAAAGACAGAGCTGAAGTGTGGGAAAGCAGGGAAGGAGCGCCCTGTCTTCTTTCTCTTGTGCTCTGATCTCTTGCTGGTGCCTCCCAGTGGCTGAACCCAGTGAGAAGCATTGGCCGGGGAACCTGGGTGAGGCAGTCCGTAGGAGTCAGCCTGCTGGGGTATAGAGCAGGTCCAAGGGAAAGGGCAAAATGATATATGGGGATAAGGAATGGCAATGTTTGTGTTATATTTTTAAGTGGAAAAAAATTGCATAGCAATGTATACAACAATATGATATTTTTGTAAAAGAAAATCACAACCACATATTGGTGTAATCATAAACATCTAAGAACATATAGCAAACTACAAGTCTCAATATTACTTTCAAAGGGTGAAAACAGATGGAGAGAGAAAACTCTCATCTTTAACTTTCTAAATTTTTATATTATGCAAATTTGCTACAAACAGTATTTCTTTTGGTATTAGAAAAATAAAGATAAGCTCTATTTTCCATGATGCTAGCTTGGCCATGTGACTTGACTGACCAATAGAATGAAAGCAGATATGATGGGTAGCATGTCTGAGCAGGACCTTTCAGTATGATTTGCTAATTTTTCTGCCAAAATATATGTTTTACTTTATCAACTCCATTCTTCTGTCAACACTGTCTAAATCCATAATAATCTCATTCATTTATTTCTATAGCCTACTAACTCATTTGGGTTTGAGCTGTGTACCTTTGAAATCCATCCTTTACACAACTGTCAGTGATGGCAAGTCCGACCCTGTAAGGCCACAGACGGCTCCCTCTCCCCTACATGGCATTTGAGAGCCATCATGGCCTTCCTTCTACATACTCCCTCAGCCTCATCCCTGGACATTCCCAGCTTCCCACTTTATGATCTGCAATACTAAATTGCCTGAAGCATCCTGAACACTCTACCATGCCTTGGTTAATTCTGTTCCCTTAGCTTGCCTTCCTCTCCCTCCTAATTTTTGTCCACATAATTTCTGTTTAACTGACAAGGTCAGTGCTTTCAGCAAGTCTTCCCTAGTTCTTCATAGGCACGCCCTAGCCCCGAGCTGCTTTGGTGCACACACCTCTGGCACTTTCCACTTGTAGCTCAAATGTTTTGTTCTGTATCTTAATGGATTGCCATCTCCTGAAGGGCAGGGATGGTATCCTAGTCAGCTTTTTATCCTAAGAATGTAGTATGATGTCTTGCACACTGTAGGCATTCAATGCACATTCGTAGAACTGCAAATTAACCAAACAAATTAACCATTAATATAAGAAAACTTTGAGCAGTCCCATAGCCTGCAGCTTGGGTTCTTACAAAGCTAATGGCATTATAAATTTGTTCATCTGGAAAGCAGTATAACAAAGTTGAACAAAAACCATGAAAATGTTCATTCTCTCCCAGCTGGTATGGCTCAGTTGGCTGGAGCATCATCCTATACACCAAAAGTTCGCAGGTTCAATTCCTGGTCAGGGAACATACCTAGGTTGTGGGTTAGATCCCTGGTTGTGGTGCATGCTGGAGACAACTGATTAATATTTGTCTCTCACATCGCTGTCCCCCCCCACACACCTCCTTGTTCCTTTCTCTAAAATCAGTTTTTTTAAAAAGAGTTCATTCTCCTTCACCTAGAATTTTTCTGTTTGTGAATATTCCCCAAAGAAATAATCCAGAGGGGGAAATTTACACAGATGTTCCTGGCATCTCTAGCTATAATAGTGAAAAAAACTGGAAGCAATCCAAGTGTCTAATAGGGAAGTGACTAAACAAACAATGGGATTATTACATAGCTATTAAAAATGACAAGAGGTGAGAAATATGTCAACATACAGAAGTGTGTATCTGTAGGAACGTTAAGTGGAGAAAAGAACAAAGAGCAGTGTTTATTATTATTATTTTTTTATCCTCACCCGAGGACATTTTTCCATTTTTGATTCAGATAGGGAGGGAAGGAGAGAGAGGAAGAGAGAGAAACATCCATGTGAAAGGGACACATCAAGTGGCCGCCACCCACACAACCCAACCAGGGCCAGGGACAAACTGCAGCCAAGCCCTTATCGGAAACCAAACCCAGGTCTCTGTGGACCACAGGCTGACGCTCTAACCACTGAGCCAAACTGGCCAGGGCAAGAGCAGTGTTTAAACACTAGTGGTTAAGGATGTGTATGTACATTATCAAAGATCATAGGCCAATTTGAAGAAAAGAAAATAGCTGGAGTTCAGTGTTCACGGGGTCTTTTTTAAAAGTTGCACAATTCCCTGAGTTTATAACAATAATAGTTGAGATGTCATGCAATGTAGATATCCTGGAAGTCCTCTGCAGAATAAGGGCTCTAACTTACCTACTAGGTTGTATATTCCAAGAGAAAATTTCATGCTAAATACTCATCAAATTATCATGAAAATAATGACATTTTAATTTTTAAAAATTTTTTATCCTCACCTGAGGATATTTTTCCATTTTTTTGTTCAGATAGAGTGGGAGGAAGAGAGAGAGAGAGACATCGACATGAAAGGGACACATCGAGTGACTGCCTTCCGCATGACCCAACCAGGGCCGGGGACAAACTGTAACCGGGGACAAACTTAGCAGGAACCGAACCTGGGTCTCTCTGGACCGCAGGCCAACACTCTAACCGTTGAGCCAAACTGGCCAGGGCAATAATGACATTTTTAAAGAGAAGACCATACCTTTAGTTTTATTCAACAAGCAATTTGAGAGTTTAACAATGTGGCAGAGGATTTACAGTCTCATGAAATTTACAAAAAATACGGACAAAATCCTCAGGTGGATATGTGTTATTATGGTAACTTTTATTTATTCAAGTGACTGTACATATTAGGACCTATTACAAAGAAATGTCTGTCAGCCTTTGGCCTAAACCTCACATTCACAAATTGTCTTGATTTTATGCTTTTGATGTCTCTAAAAGGAGTCCTATGTATAGTCACTGAGATATACTGATAAAGATCAAAAGGAAAAGGTCATCATCCTATAACTCTACGCTTGTATCACATTACCACTGTAGTGCACTATGGATTAATATTTTATGAATCCTGTGATTATCTTGTGAAAAGCAAAATACTGACATTGCAAGGTATATTACATTATAATTAAAAGAAATAAACCACAATTTTTCATATCTTGTTTTAGAATTTCTTTATTTTTGTATTCACTAAGAGCCTCAACAAATAGACATGTCCCAGGCTTCTCTAGATCTCTGGGAGGCCCTGATCATGATTATCACGTTATCTTTAAAATGTGATCATTTTAACGAGGGGGTTGTTAATAACTTAACTGTACACACACCTAACTAATAAACTGCTTTCTACTAGCCCTACTATTTCTGTGCCATACAACTAGGGGTCAGAAAACTCTAGAGCAGTGAGTGGCTCACAATCCTGGCTGCAGGTCAGAATCACCTACACTTGCCCAGACACCACTCCAGACCTCCTGATTCAGACTCTTCAGGGCTGGAGTTTGGAGATCCCGATACTTAAAAAGCTCTCTTTCTCTCTTCTTGCTTGCAGTAGGGAAGTTGGAGAAGCATATGGAAAGTGAAGAATCAGGGTTCTTGCCCGGCCGGTGTGGCTCAGTGGTTGACCATGGACCCATGCACCAGGAGGTTGCCGGCTGGATTCCCGGTCAGGGCATATGCCCAGGTTGGGCCCGATCCCCAGTAGGGGGCATGCAGGAGGCAACCGATCAATGTTCTCTTTCATCGATGTTTCTATCTCTATCCCTCTCCCTTCCTTTCTCTCTAAAATTAATAAAGGAAAAAAAAAAAATCAGGATTCTGTCCCTCCTTGCTCACAGCCTCTCCACCCTCAATTCAACCTGATTTACATTCCATTTGGAGTGTTAATGTTTATGGGGACATATTTCCCCACTTCTTCATTCAAAAGTGCAGGTAGATGCTGAAGGTATCTTGACTAAGGTAATATTTATTCTTTGAGGAGCTATAACCAGAATGCTTGGACATGGATCAGATTCAGAAAAATTAAGTTCAAAGGGGCCATGGTTGTGCGTAGTAGTAAATGACATATTGATAAATACAAAGTATAATTATAAAGGTGGGGAATTTCATTGTATTCCAGGAAGGTATGGCTGTTAAGACTTTCCAGATGAACCAGGGAGTTGAGACAATCACTTAAGGAAGAAACCAATTTGGCCTTCCTCGTTTTAAGGTGAGAATGTTAGAAGAAGGATGATGTATCTGGGGCCCGGTGGTCAGAGGCTGCCAGGCTGAGCTCCAACCACCAGAAAGTACCCACAGATGCTATACTCCCTTTTCCCTTCTGAGTTATTCAGATAACTGCCCTTCAAGCCATGCTTCACTAACCTGGGGATAGAATCCATTCATTGAACTATTTCATGGGCTACAATTGCTACTTTAAATGAAAACCTGGGAAGCTGAATCCTTGCTGCTGTTGAGAGGATATAATTAGCTCCTTGTGCAGCAATGACCCCACGGATTTTTCTGACGCATTTGGCCTGCAGTGTGACCTTTCTGAGACCTCCAATATCTTCTCCACAGCTGTAGATGCCCAAAACTGCACGAGCACTTCCTGTGGGTGTGGCTTTTCATGTTTTTAAAAATTTTTTAAGGCTTCATGCTTATTGGATTACATATTTTAACCACTCACAGATTTGTAATGCTTTTTTTCAAATACAACAGTGGACTCTAAGTGGCTATATCAAACATAAGAGTCCTCCCTTTTCTTTTTAAAAAATGATTTTATAATTGTGGCCTCTCAAGAAACACTATAATTGGTCAGCCTGGGGTGCATTTGATGTCCTTCCAGATAACGTCATTAGCTATTTTCAGGAAAGGAAAGGCAGAGTATACCCTCTTGGGAAAATGACAACACTTGTTTCAAGTTGGGGAAGAGCCTGCTGTTCTTTTCCTGCATTTGGGGAAAGAGAACACACATTGTTCATTTCCTAAATACGGGATGTGCTGTGCGCCTGGCAGGTCATTTTCCACCACGTCACATCCTTCTGGATGAAGGCAGCAGGGGCCAGGGCAGGAAATGGCAATTCTCAGAATGAGACAAGGCTTTCCCAGGGCAGTCATTGGTTCTCTGGAAGTATAAAGGATGCTCATCCAGAAACAGCCTCAGATTTTTCTTTCCTGGAGACAGCCAGAGGTGAATGGTAAGTGGGGAATCTAGAGGATACTATCTGAAAAATTGCCATTGGACTTGTAATACTGGGGTTACATCCCCGGTCCATTATATATTTTGAGTGACCTTTTTCTCACTTTGCTAAGAGATGTCTTTCCTTGGAAATTTATCACTGGTGGGTGGAATTATGGAGGCATGGAAGTAAAATGAAGACTTAGGAAGAGTCAGGAGACAAATGTTCTAGACTGGGCTCTGTGCAGGACTGGCAGCATCTAGAAACTGTCTGTGTTTCTATTTCCTCATCTTTCAGATGAGAATAATAATTTGTGTCCTGATATCTCACAGGATTGAAATGCTCTATTTCTGTGGCTTATCTGCCATTTTTAAGAAGTTCCCAATAATGATGAGTACAATGGATATGAAGGTAGGAATTTTTGGCAACTCGGAAGGATGTACCCCATGGTGTACAGTTCTGTCTCTTTGTTAGTCATCTGTAATTGGCTTCAGTTAAATTTGGCACAAGGTTTGCCCTCAGTGAGTTGTTAAACAAAAAATTTGGGTGACTTTATTTCATTCAAACGTAACTCATTTTTAAAAGGAAGCTTTCATAATAAAGAGACATAGTGGTATTAATTTAATTTAGTTTTAATTATACACCCACCAAAGAATGAGACCTGATGAGCTCTAGTTAGAATAAATAGCAAAACCACATTTTAGGCTTAATTCTAAGATAAGAGCGTGGAAGAATAAGCAGAAGAGCTGCTCTAGACAATCATCTAACTTAGAAAGATTAGTTTCTTACATTTGATAGACAAAATGATTTTTGAGTTTTTGGTGACTTATTTTGAGAGAGAGAAAGAGAGAGAACTGTATTACAAAACTCTTATGATCCAATTCTTCATGTAACAAAAGGACTTTGTAAACAGGTACAACCTCCCACTTGTAAAGTATCATCTTTTGAATAGAGCAGAGGCCTGAGTATTGCAGGTGTTAGAAGGCTCATCCTCTCCTCACTGAGTTTACATCTTATACACAAATCGTTAATAAAGTCCATCCTTAGGGTTCCCTGGGAGAAAAAGCAGAGGAGAGCTTTATTCCCATTTGCACATGCGGTTTCAAGGTCCTGACAACTTGTGTAACTTGTCCCAGATTAAAGAACGGATCTTTGGGAACTTGACACATGACTCACTGGAAAATGACCCAATTCCCTTGCGTGGCAGCGGCTATGTTTAACTTTTGCCAACTGCTGGCTCGCATATGGGAACCGCGATCGGGAGCCGCTCTTAGTCACGGAGACCACGGAATAACTGCGTGTCTGTGTCCCCGCAGGACATGGAGGGACCTGCCGCCTGGGAGCTGCAGGGCGCCGAAGCGCTGCGGCGTTTCCACGGGCTGCTGCTGGACCGCCGCGGCCGGCTGCACGGCCAGCTGCTGCGCCTGCGCGAGGTGGCCCGGAGCCTGAAGCGCCTGCGCAGGCGCTCCCTGGCGGCTAACGTGGCTGGCAGCTCGCTGAGCGCTGCAGGGGCTGTCACCGCCATCGTGGGGCTCTCGCTCAGCCCGGTCACCATGGGGGTCTCGCTCATGGCGTCGGCCGTAGGTCTGGGGGTGGCCACCGCCGGAGGGGCCGTCACCATCACATCTGACCTCTCCCTGATCTTCTGCAACTCCCGGGAGGTGCGGAGGGTGCAGGAGATAGCGGCCACCTGCCAGGACCAGATGCGCGAGATCCTGAGCTGCCTGGAGTTCTTCTGCCGCTGGCAGGGCTGTGGGGACCGCCAGCTGCTGCAGTGCGGAAGGAACGCCTCCATCGCCTTGTACAACTCCGTCTACTTCATCGTTTTCTTCGGCTCACGTGGCTTCCTCATCCCTAGGCGGGCCGAGGGGGCCACCAAGGTTAGCCAGGCCGTGCTGAAGGCCAAGATTCAGAAACTGGCGGAGAGCCTGGAGTCCTGCACGGGGGCTCTGGACGAATTGAGTGAGCAGCTGGAGTCCAGGGTCCAGTTCTGCACGAAGTCCAGACGTGGCCACGACCTCAAAATCTCTGCTGACCAGCCCTCAGCGCTGTTTTTCTGAGAACATCCGTCTTCCTAATGACCGAGGCCAGAAACCATCCCTGTGGGATGCTCCAGATTTGTAGCTCCCCCAGGAAAACACGAAGCTGCGTTAGGAGCTGAATGCAAAGGATGAGAAAAAACTGTTCTTGAAGTAGAGGGTCCTCACAGCCCTTCTTTTCCCATCACTGTGACATTCTGCTGGGGTTGAGTGTTTTCTTGCCTGATCCTAGTGGATATGTGACCTGAAAACTATTTTTCCTTAATCAAAACCGTTCAGTCTTCACTTCACTAGGCACTCCTGTTTTAAGTGGTTTGAGCTGAGGCTGGAGAGGGTGAGACATGGCCATCCTTTGGGTCCTCTGCAAGCCCTACTAGGCTTGGAGGTCCTCAGAATGCCGGTGTGAAGAGACATAAGCTTTAAAACCTGTCTTCCAGAGTTTCTGAGTACAAAGACCTCCGGACTCCAGAGCAAAGTGACCCTCTCTGAACAGTGTGTTGGGGTTCAGGACTCAAGAGAGGCCCCTTCCTCTGACATGCAGTCCTCTCCCCTCTCAGCTTATCCACTCACAGATCCAGCCTGGGGATGGAGTGGACCTTCCTGGATAGCTTCATATCCAGACTCTGAAAAGGGGAACCAGCCAGTCATCTAAGTGCTGCCTCTGGCAGGAAGAAGCTGAGGCCAAGGAAAATAAAGTGATTAACAGCTTCATTTACTGACATCATAGTGTAGAGAAGAGAGCAATGGCTTTGAGTTAGACAGTTCTGGGTTTATTACAGACTGTCACTACTGTGTGATCTTGGCCATCCAGTCTCTCTGAGACTTGTCTTCCTGGTCAGTAAAAGAGAGATGCTAAAAACTTACTCTGAGTATTAAGTGAGATAAGGTGCCTAGTGCAATGTCTGGCCCCTGGTCTGGCAGCATTAGCATCACTGGGGACTTGTTTGAGAGGCAAATTCTTAGACTCAACCCCTGACTTATTGAAGCAGAAATCTGGAGGTGGAGCCCAGCAATTATATTTAAACAAGCCCTCAGGGTGATTCTGATGTCTACTAAACTTTGAAAACCACTGCAACAGATGTTAGTTCCTGATCCCCTCGATGAACTTTCATGAAGTCTAATGCTCTCTCTAGGAGCTCCATGGTCTTCAGAGTCATTCACTGTAGATCAAGGACAGTCTATGTCCCAGTGTATTCTGGGGCACCTTCCCATCATGTTCACTAAGGAATGTAACATATTAGGCCCTTTAGAGGGCAGTGTTGTCCACTCATTGTAGAAACTGGTACAGAAAGGAATGTGAATTTATTGGAAACTGACCTTTATTACCTTCTCTGAAAACTGCTAGACCATGTATTTTTTAATTTATTTTAAAGTTTTTTTATTTAATTACTGTTTATTATTTGCATTTAATTTTATTTAATCATCACATTTAGAAAATAATAGGAATAGCAAGTGATTGAATGGGAGACTACTGAGGATCTTTTCGGAGATGAGGTTGAGTTTGACTTTCTGAGGCCGGTCATGGGCTCTCCTTGAATAAGTCTCTCTCTTTCCCATATGAAGTAAATGTGGGAAGTTCTGAATAGAGAGACCTGGAGCTGAGTTTAAGCTTATGATTGGAGGCTTGACTTGCAGAATATAGAAATGATGCAGGCATATTTAACCTGAAGGTACTTTGCCAGCAGTAACACTTGACCTGAAAGGAGAACCTGTTTAGCCCAGGGTTCTAAACTATTTTTCAGGGGGAAAAACACACACAATTAAAGGCATGTGAAGCCCTGGCTGGTTTGGCTCAACGGTTGGAGCGTAGGCCTGCGGATCAGAGAGTCCTGGGTTCGGTTCCCGCTAGGGGCACGTACCAAAAAAACAAAAACAAACAAACAAACAAAAAATAAAGGCATGTGAAGAAAGCACTTAGACCTTGGAAGCCTGATGACCTGTGAAGTTATATCGTATGGGTGATAGACAAAATAAGTTGTGTTATGGTGGTGATGTGTCATATTTTCGCATTGGGAGATGTAAAAATCTGTAGACTGTCTCTAAGAAAATATAATTTTTTCAATTTTAACTGTAATATTGAAAAACATGTTGAAAAGTCTTTGGGACTACACACACATAAAACTTGGCTGTATTACATAACTATTTAATATGCTTTAAATTGATTCAGTTTTCTCTCATGCTTCTCAATGATGGCAGTATGTCTGAGGAAGTATAATTTCAGTGTTGGGGGGAGTTGGTTAGTGGTTCTATATTTTAATTTCTCCTATAAATTTCAATCAATATGTATTCTGGTTTGTTTTCAAGTTGGTACTGGTTTATTTATAAACTGGTGTCACTTCCTAGACTACCTTGCACAGATGCTAGCATTTTAGGTCACCAGAATGTACATTATGATATCATTGTGTTATGTTATAAAGGTACAACCACTCCCTAACTCCACCTTCTATTAATGCTTAAGTTTGAATTATATTCTTCCATTGCCTGAGTTGTTCTCTAGAAATAAACTGGGCACTTTTGGTAGCAGCAGCAGCATAAGTATGAGCAGCATTAGCAGCATCAGCATCATCAGCAGCAGCAGCAAACATTTCCTATCATTAGGGTATTTTGAGTATATCAAAGTCCTAAACTCCTGAAGTTATCATTTCAGTGGCCCACTTTACATCTAAGGAAGAGTGTCCACTTTGGAACAACACTTTACACATAATAGGACCTCAATAAATGCCTTTGAATACTTTAATAAACTGCTTGGATATATTATAGGAATCTGTTGATAATGAAAGACCATCCATCCTCTACATGTCTGTTATAAAGATTGGAGCCTCTATCAGGATTTAGTTAAGTTTAGCTCAGTGGATCCTACAGACAAATATTTATTTCTTTTGTGAGAATGTGAAAAATGCTTTTCCTTAAGGCCTGCATTCTATAAACAAACAAACTGAAATGGTATGTTGTAAAGGGAAGAAGGGAGAGGGGTATTTAGATCATAAGTGTACTTCAGAAAAATGTCCCAAGTTTGAAAAATAAATGTGTTTGTATTAAAGGTTTAAATGCTTCTGGTAGTTTCTGGGGTTTAGAATCATTTGGATGTTTTTCTTTCACAATAAAAGAGATTTAATAAAACTACATTCTGCTCTATTAGAAAAGAATCCTTAGCAAACATTCTGATCCTAATTGCTTTGATGTATTTGCCTTCAGGCATCTGCCATTTCCAATATGGCAAATGTCAAAGTCAAAAGTGTGTACTGGGGGGAAAAGAGAGAAGCGTGGTGTAGAAGCCACTCTAAATCAGATATATCAAACGATTAGTCACCTTGATAGAGTTTCATTCAGTACTTTGGTGTGAAAAACAATTGAGATATTGAGATCAAGACATTGTGCAGAGATAAACAGGGATACAGCAATTTTTGCATCAATTTTTGAATTTTATTTTTTCAATCACTATGCAAAATTAGTTCTTTCACTTTATTCAAATAAAGTTTTCCCATTCCTCAAACTTTTTGATCTCTGTAATTAATTGCCTAATATCATGTTTGCCTGTGCGTGAATTAATAATTTTGAAAAAGGGATAGTTAATCATTTTCACTTAGGATATTCAGTATTAATTCAGTGTAAATAAATTTTTAAAAAGCAATCAACTCATGTACAAGAATACCTCTCTTACCTAGAAATCAGACTTCCAGCAGTTTCAAATTCTGTAAACATAATTCTTTAAAGGAAACTTAGAATTAGCTAAATTAGCCTTCACAAAACCTAGAGAGAGGTAGAAAGGGAGCGCAAGGGGCAACATCTATATGAGGAGGCAAATTTCCCCACAAATCTCCAGGGAACTTCACCTTGCAACTTACTGATCTTGACCATGCAAAGCAGGCTGAGAAATGTACTAACTTTGAGCTAAGAATCGGCTGATCCTAGTATACCTAGAATTCTGTTTGAAAGGAAGGTGGACATAGAGTAGGGGTCCAGCAGTCCAAACAAAGAGCCTGCAGTGGTTGCTAGTCAGTCAAGAGCTACGGCCCTGGAGGTAATCTCCCTATATGAGTGCCAGCCAGCCTTTGAGTCTCCCTACCTTGGAGCCATCCCTGGGTCCGAATGTTGCACTGTTAGTGAATGTGCAACCAAAAAAGGATGTCTTGGCAAGACCCTGAGTATTTGTGAAGGCCAGACACAAGCTGGGATCCTGTCTTTGCTATAACGTATGTATTCCTGTCACAATAAATGTCCTTTTAGTTCATTGCAATAAATCTCTCCTTGTTGAGTGGACAGGTGGTCCTTGCAAACCCTAGTAAATCCTGCTGTGGTCTGGAAAAAGACAGAGTGAGACCTAAGATCTGGAAATAACCCCCAGAGAGTTGGCAACCAGAGAGTTGTTAGGAGAGGAGAAATCATGCTGATGAAGCAAGACCCTTCTAGGGGAACTTTAGGGACCCTCAGCATCCCCAATCCTGATTGGCATTAGCATTAGGTTGTGGAAAGAAGGCCCTCTAATGTGGTCTTGAAAGCACAGGTAAAGCTTGTCCATACAAAGCTACATCTGCAGAGAATGATGTTTAATCCCATTTTCTATTTCCGGTGTAACCCCAGGGGTGGCAGTGCAGGCAGGCCTATGAACTGATTTGCCCCAGAACTTCAGCAATGAGTCACAGCCTCCACCTCTGCAACTGGATCCAGTTGCTAAATTTACCGAAACAGTTGTAAGTGGGAGAAGCTTTTTGTGCAGATGGAGTTAGGGAGCGGCGGTAATGTCTAAAACCTTTTTTTTAGGCTAAACATTTCTTATTCTAGGCTCCCTGGTTGACACGTAGACCTTTGTTCTGCCCTCACCTTGTTACTAAAACTGCACTGTCAACATGTCGTTGCAGAACAATACTTTCTCAATGCTTAAATAAAATGATATTTCGATAATAGATATAGAATACAACTGTGGATATTTAATGATAATAATAGCTAACATTTATTGACAACTTACTAGGTACTGTTCTACGTACAATTTGACATGTATTATCACATTTACAAAAATGTTATGAGAGAGACACTAATTACTTTGTATTATTGGATAAAGAAAGTAAGGGAACTGAGAGATTGCACAAGTAGCAAGAGCTGTCCCAGGGTTTGAATATTGGCAGCCTGACTCTCAGCTCTTCCAAGAGTATTTTACTTTTTTTTTTTATCCTCACTCGAGGACATTTTTCCACTTTTTGTTCAGATAGAGTGGGAGGAAGGGAGGGAGGGGGAGAGAGAGAGAGAGAGAGAGAGAGAGAGAGAGAGAAATATTGCCATGAAAAGGACACACGATTGGCTGCTACCTGCACAACCAACCAGAGCTGGGGACAAACTGCAACCAAGGTACGCTCCCCTAGCGGAACCGAACCAGGTCTCTCCAGACCGCAGGCCGACGCTCTAACCGCAGAGCCAAACCGGCCAGGGCCCAAGATTATTTTTCTAATACAATATAATAGCTCATGACTGTGATGATGTTAATAAGAAACTGAGATTCATTCATTCATTCATTCATCTGGAAAACATTTATTGAGTACTCACGTTGTACTGCCTACTGTCATTGGTGAGCAATAAAGACAGGGTTCTAGATCCACGGCACTATCACTCCAGTGATCTAGATAGGGTCATCTTATGCCAGTAGATTAACCAAGAAGTTAAAATGTAGGTTTGCAAATGGCTAGTATTTGCAGAAAACAATGTAGGTGCAATTTGAAAATGATTAAACTTCAGCTTTGATCATAAAAACTTATGCATAAGTATTTTGTAATGTTGCCCCAGAAGTCCTAGACATGGCAAAATTCTTGTGACAAAACAGCCAGAATTGGAGGACATGATTAATAAAAACTTTTTGTTAACTGCTGTTATGCTGGGACTGAAGGTATCAACAGAGACCGCACAGATACGAATAAAGGAATTAGTGGTTCAGCAGACTTTTCCAGATCTTGCATAAAAACCTCTGAAAATGGCCCTAGCCGGTTTGGCTCAGCGGTTAGAGCGTCAGCCTGCGGTCTGGACCTGGGTTCGGTTCCTACTAAGGGCACGTACCTCGGTTGCAGTTTGTCCCCAGCCCTGGTTGGGTCGTGTGGGTGGCAACCACTCGATGTGCCCCTTTCACGTCGATGTTTCTCTCTCTCTCTCTCCCCCTCCCACTCTATATGAACAAAATATCAAAAAAATGTCCTCAGGTGAGGATTAAAAAAAACCCACAAAACTCTGAAAATGAAAATTCTTTGGGGTCATTCCATCAAAACTGTCACTGAACCTGCTCATCAGTTTTCTTCCTGTTGGGGGTGTGTACTCAATTTCAGTATGATAGCTCTGGACTAAAACTGTAGGAGAC